AGTAGTTACCAGTACTTAAAAATTAGGAGATTTCACACTAAAATTCTGCCTTCCAGCTTCTCTTGAAAAATCAGAAGAGGTAGTAATACCACCAGGCTCAGGCAGCAGCCCTCCCCACAGCAAGGAGCAGCACTGCCCTGGGACGGGCCCCGCTTGCCCTCCCTGTAGCCTGGCTGATGCTGGCTTCTGTAGGATTTCCATCTGCAGCTCTTCTGACTTCTCCTCAATCTTCCAGGTTTTCTCTTCCCCTATAAAATTCTCAGAAAAGGATATTCAATCACTTGAGGCCAGGAGTTTGAGACCAGCCTGGAACACAGGGAGACCCAGTCTCCGAAAAAAAAAAAAAAATTTTAAATGTAGCTGGACATGGTGGGACATGCCTCATCAGCACTTTGAGAGGCTGAGGTGAGACGATCACTTGAGGCCAAGCATTTAAGACTAGCCTAGACAACATAGCAAGACACTGTCTATGTAAGAAATTGAAAAAAAAAAAATTGGTCAGGTATGATGGTATGTTCCTGTGGTTTCAGCTACTCAGGAGGCTGAGGCAGGAGGATCATTTGACCCAGGAGTTCAAGGCTGATGGTACCGCTGCACTCCAGCCTGGCGATAGAGCAGGACCCTATCTCTTAAAAAATTCTTTTTTAAAGAGAATTTTTATTCTTTTATCCTTCCTGGTCCTGGTCCTGAATAAATATTCAATCAAGTCTTTAAACTGTTGAGAAGAAATGAATTGGAGAAGCAGGGAGACCAAATGAGACCAGAGCCTTCATCCACACGTCTTTTTTTTTTTTTTTTTTTATAAAGAGAATTCCTAAGTCTCATTGTCCACACATCTTGGTTTCCTCTATGATGGGGTCTTCCTCCTCCCCCAAATCACTGACTGTCCTGTCTTCCAGGTGGAGGCCACAAGCAAGAAAGAAAAGGCCAAGCAGAGGCCTCTGGCCCTCAACACCGTGGAGATGTTGCGTGTGGCCAGCTCTTCTCTGGGTACGTAGGGACATTTCTCTAAAATTAGTCTTCAGAAGGCTTCCTAAGGCAGGTTTAGCCTGGAGCAGTGAGTGCCCAAGGAGGCAAAGCGGTGCCTGAGGTTTCAAGGAGATCTGAGCCTCGTGAGGATTTCACTCCTCCTGAGGTTGTAAAGGGGGTAAAGTTGGCCACCCCCTGAGGGGACATCCTGATGTTAGAGTCCCTGAGCAGCTATCCCTGGTGAGGGGAGAGGCCTCCACCAGATGTCACCTTCTGGGAACCAGTGCGAACGTCGCCTCTCAGCCTTGTCTCCTCAGTAGCGAGGAGGGGGTTGGGCTGGAAAGCTGTTGGTCTCTGGCAGCTGTCAGCCCCCAGGCATTGGTGTCCCCCTGCAGGGAACTATGGGCAGCGTCCTCTCAGAGTGGTGGCACCAGTGTCTTCAGAGGGCAGCAGTGCTGGGAGTGGTTGCTAGCTAAGTGCCAGCCTCTGCTGGCCAGGAAGTAACAGGACGAGCCCCCCTCAGTCGCCCCAGAGTACAGTGAGGACAGAAACACCCAAGGGCTCAAAATGGGGCTATGTGCTAACTCTGCCATCAGCCAACCCAAGGCATGGTTATGGCTCCGTGGCCGTGCGTGGGGAGCAGTGCTCTAAAGGCCATGTCTCATCCCCATGGTCCCGAGTGAGTGGCATTTCCCATCAGGCCCCTCCTGGGCCCACCCTCACCCATGCAGGATTCAGCCTCAGACAAGGCTGTGTGGCATAGGTGCCCACCTGGCCAGCAGCTCTGCACTCTAGCCATGCCTGTTCAGAGCCACCCTTACCTTCCAGGAGGGGATAGCCACCTTGCAGGGAGCCTGAGTGCACAGACCAGGGCAGGCACCTGGCCCTCTGAGAGCCTCCTGTCTCTCACAGGCATGGGACCACAGCACGCCATGCAGACAGCCGAGCGGCTCTACACGCAAGGCTACATCAGCTACCCACGGACAGAGACCACCCACTACCCTGAGAACTTTGACCTGAAGGGCGCTCTGCGGCAGCAGGCCAACCACCCCTATTGGGCCGACATGGTGAGTTGAGCCAGGCCGGCCCCCACATGTGTGTGTCACTGAGGCCTTGGGACCAGGTCTGGTACTCGAGCCAAACCCAGGCAGGCAGCCGAGCCCAGCCACAGTCTCTGCTCTGTCTTCTCTCCCTCAGGTGAAGCGGTTGTTAGCAGAAGGCATCAACCGCCCACGGAAAGGCCACGATGCCGGCGACCATCCCCCCATCACCCCCATGAGGTCTGCCACAGAAGCCGAATTAGGTACCCCTCTCACCCCATACCCGCCACGCTTCCAGGGACGGAAAGGCAAGCTGCGACAGTGAAGGTTGCAGGCCCTGCCAGCAATGTGGGGGCTCCTTCAGCCCCTGCCTGCTCTGGCTGTGGCAAGCGGGGAGTCACCCGGAAGATGAGCTTCATTACTGTGGGACCAGGACAGGAATGAAGAGGTGGCAGCAGGTGCAGGTGGCTGTTGCAGGGAGGTGCGGGGGCAGATGCCACAGGGGACATACATGAAACCAAGGCAGAGAGTGGCAGGCTTCAGAAGTGGGGGGCGGGATGCCTCCTACCTCCCAGCTGGCCTGAGGCAGTACCAGTGGTCCAAGTGCCAGGAGAAGGCAGATGAGGTGCAGGTAGAGACAGAGACCACTTGTGGACAGTCTGAGTTTGAAGTGGTGGTATCATGTCACAAGACAGTAGGACAGGCCCACACCTGAAGAGCAGTCCTGCCAGAAGCAGGGTCAGGAGGTTGTGGAGGGTCGGGGGAGCTGCAGCCATGAAGGAACCACGGAGGCACAGAGGCTTGTGTTCCCTTCCTCCACATTGTCTTCTTTTTTTGAGACAGTCTTGCTGTGTCACCCAGGCTGGAGTGCAGTGGCCAGATCTCAGCTTATTGCAGCCTTTATCTTCCAGGTTCAAGGAGTTCTCCTGCCTCAGCCTCCCGAGTAGCTGGGATTACATGTGCCTACCATCACACCTGGCTAATTTCTTTGTATTTTCAGTAGAGACGGGATTTCACCATGTTGGCCAGGCTGTTCTCAAACTCCTGACTTCAAGTGATCCACCCGCCTTAGCCTCCCAAAGTGCTGGGATTACAGGCGTGAGCCACCGCGTCCAGCCTTCCTGCACATTTTCTTTCCTCCTTCCCTGAATTTGCAGTGTGTCCGCACAGTGGCCCTGTAAGCAGGACCTTGCTGCTCAAGCGAGAGTGCTGGGGCTCCTCACGGCCAGAGCCCTCAGCTGGCTCCCAGCTAACTAGCCCTGGCCTGTTGCAGGGGGTGACGCATGGCGGCTCTATGAGTACATCACCAGACACTTCATCGCCACAGTCAGCCATGACTGCAAGTACCTGCAGAGCACCATCTCCTTCAGGATCGGGCCCGAGCTCTTCACCTGCTCCGGGAAGACCGTCCTCTCACCAGGTCACACTGCGGGCCCAGCGTTCCTCCTCCCCACCTTCATGGGCAGACAAAAAAAAGCATTCTACATCGTGTCTGGGGATGGGACGCCCAGGGTCTGAGCCGGGGCCCCACCAGGCTGCAGACTCTGAGTGGTGGCACCTGTCTTTCCAGGCTTCACGGAGATCATGCCCTGGCAGAGCGTGCCCCTGGAGGAGAGCCTGCCCACCTGCCAGCGGGGCGACACCTTCACTGTGAGTGAGGTAAAGATGCTGGAGAAGCAGACGAGCCCACCCGACTACCTGACGGAGGCTGAGCTCATCACGCTCATGGAGAAGCACGGCATTGGTGGGTACGCCTGCCCAGGCCCTAGAGCCAGCTCTGTCTCCAGCACTCAGGCTGAGAGTCTACTCACAAAGCTGCCCAGCCACCCCTATGTGCACAGCCCAGCACCCGTCCACGGGCTGGTGTCTGGAAACTGATGACCCCGCATGTGACCAGACAGGCAGGTCCACAGCAGGCATCCCCTCCCAAGGCCTCCACTCAGAACCTGGACTTCCCTGTGAAGGCCCTGATGTGTCCTCATGCACTGTGGGGTGGGCGCACGCTGACTAATGCCCACAGGGCCTAAGATTGGCCGAGATGTCAAATGACTCATAGAAATCATTTTGGCAGTCTCCTGAGTCCACACAGCCAGCCTGGTGTGTCCCAAAGTCACGTGACAGGGAAATGAGACCTCACAGGAGCTGCTTCCCTGGAAGAGGGAACAGAAATGCCTGTCCGAGGGACAGGGCTCCCGAAAGGATGACCGGGAAGTTTCTAACCAACAACGGGCAGCCCAGGGGAGTTTATCAAAGCAAAAATGTAGTCACCAGTGCACACTCCTCACAGGAGAGGTGGCCTCACAAGTCCTCAGGCGTAGGGCTGAGTGAGGTCTCACATGTTGGGGGCCAGCCTCACTGCCAGAACCTTCTCCCAGGTGGTACTCGCACTGCCGGGCACTGCCTGTTGCCTGTGGCTCCATCTCCAGCTGCGCCTGGCTGATGGGCTCCAGAGGCCTATAGGATGTCACAGCCACTGTGTCCAGGCTCTGCTCCAGCAGTGGTCATAGAGGTGGACTCTAAGGAAGTGACCCCCCCCAGGCTAGGGTCCTGGTGACCGTGGCAACCTTGGCAGGAGAGCAGAGCTCTGGGCTTGCTCCTCCCAGAGGTCTAGGGCCCCTGCCAAGGTCCTGAAATAGCAGCCCTCATCCCACTGCGGAGTGTGGGCTGTGCCCTGCCTGCGTCCTCTGCCCTCTCCTGCTGATGGGATACTGTGGCCCCTGGCAGCCCTGTGGTGGCCAGTGAAGTACTTGGTAGTACAAGTTTGTGACAGTGAAGAGGGCTCTGGTGTTACCTTCTGAACAGGACAATGCTCTGAGCCTGTGACTGAGCCCCCAGGAGTGTGTAAAAGGGGCCTAACCAGAGCCGCCACCCAGGTCTGGGGTGAGAATACAGCGAGCGGGGCACACGCTGCAGAGGAGCCCACACTGCACATCATGGCACCCGGCAGACTCAGACGGTGGCAGCACACACCACCCACAGTCTGCCACACCAGGTGCCGAGCTTCGGCAAGCTCCTTAGCCCCTGGAGGCCAGTTTCTTCCCATGTGAGATTCTCTGCGAGCTGCTTTGGGAAGGTGTGTGTCACCTGCCCATGCTGGGGAGCATGCAGGGAGCCTAAGCCTCTTTTTTGCCCCGCTGACTGGCACCCACCGTAGTCAGAACGCCTCAGTCTCTGCTGCGCCCCTCTGCTAGGAAGGCTCTGGGAGGGAGAGTGGAATCCTGGGGACTGGGAGCCTGCCCTGGGTACCATGACAGGCCTTGCAGAGAGGGAGGAGATGGGAGACAGGGAGTGTCTTTGCAGTCAGCTTGTAAGCACCTCCATGTTCTGGTGGAGGGGGCTCTGGCTCCAGGACCAGGTGGGTGTCACAGGATTCAGGCAGGAGAAGCCAAAGAAATCACATTTCGCAGGCACAGAATAAGCACTGTGACCTTGGAGAGTTCCTTAACCTCCGAGCCTCTACCATAAAGCAGGAGTAGACCCCGTGCAGGGAGGGCTGCCCTTGTGTTCTCAAGGCAGAACATGAAAGGCATGCAGTTGGTGCCCAGCACAGTGCAGTGGGTGCTCAGAGCACAGCCCTCCCTCCTGTGGGTGGCCAGGAGCCGTGAGAGAGCCTGAGCACCAGGGGCCCTGTGGCAGGTGCTACAGTATGTGGTTCAGTGGGGCGTGTCCAGGGTAGGCCGGGAACCCTGGGGCCTTGTACGTTGCAGGCACAGATGCCAGCATCCCTGTGCATATCAACAACATCTGCCAGCGCCACTATGTCACTGTGGAGACCGGGCGCCGGCTCAAACCCACCAACCTCGGCATCGTCCTGGTGCACGGCTACTACAAGATTGGTGAGTCCCTCGGCCCTGCCCCCAGGGTTCACCCGGGATCCCTAGCTTCTCCCTGGGCATTGGCTCTGCCGCCGCCTCCAGACAGGCCCTGACCTGCAGTGATCCCCCAGCCCCACATGCACCCCCTCAACACCACTGAAGAGGCGCTATCCCAGGACCCCCAGGACCTGCCCAGAGCAGGAGCTGGGTGTGTTTGAATGCTGAACGGACATGTGTGAGGGAACCAAAAGGGGAGGCGAAGGTGCCTCAGCTCTATCCTCTGGAGGTTCCCCAGAGGCCAAGGGGAGAGGGAGGAGCACAGAACTGGCCCAAGGGCGGTCTGGAGCTCATCTGTGATGTGGTTATAGCCACTGGCCACTCTGCCTGAGATTTCCAGGTGAGAAGTCAGGAAAGGTCTGGGGGCATAGGAGCCAGCCTGGTACCATCTGCGGCTGTGGATTGGTGGGCAGGGCAGAGGCCAGGAGGACGGGCCGGAGCAGGAGGGGTGGGCAGGGCAGTAGCCCCGCCTGGGATGGGGTGGCATAGCTCTGGGTGTGAGTGCTCAGGGCAGCATCTGCCCCGTACCCACTCGCAGATGCAGAGCTGGTGCTCCCCACCATCCGCAGTGCAGTGGAGAAGCAGCTGAACCTGATTGCCCAGGGCAAGGCCGACTACCGCCAGGTCCTGGGCCACACCCTGGACGTGTTCAAGAGGAAGTTCCACTACTTTGTCGACTCCATTGCTGGTAGAGTCTGCCTCTGGCCTGCCCCTCACCAGAGGACCCTTTGTCAGCGCAGCCAACACCTGGGGACCCAGGTCCCCACATAAGACCAGCTCCCAGATCTGGGCTCCAGGCCTCTCTGTAGGTCACGGCAGTGACACTACCTGGCTGGGTTGAAAGAGCAGGTGCGTTTACACCACACGTGGCCAGGAGCATGCGCTCTGATGCACGGGGCTGCTGCCCTGCCGTTCTGCCACGGACAGTAGAAACCAGCGCCTGCAGGGACCCTCTCACACTCAGACCCTTGACCACGTATAGTGGCCCCTTCTGCCAGAGACTATGAGGGAGGTGACTTCTGCACTCTGCTTGCCTGCAGGCATGGATGAGTTAATGGAGGTGTCTTTCTCACCCCTGGCGGCCACAGGCAAGC